CTGGTTGCAGGATTTTGTCAAGTTAGGCTTCATTCGCCAGCCTGATGGACGAAATGAATTGACAGAAGACGGGTAAGATTTTCATACTTCCTCGAGAAATACCCTCATTTGCAAATCAATTTGGTTTTCACGAGAGACTCAAATGAATCTCTCGTTTATGAGATTCTACAACTGAATATGCTGCACACAGGCCGCCTAATGTTTCAGTTGGCACAATATTCGAGATATTATAGTATATTTTCATAAAGGAAACTACTCACATGTTTGCTGAAAACTCTGTCGAACGGTGTTCAGCAAACTTGTGAGCAGTTTCCTTCATGAAATTTTCATACTTTTTTCATACTGTGTCTACTTCTGGTTAGAACAGTTCTCGACATCACTATGTGACCAGATAATGGATTATGTGGCACAAGAAAAACATAATCGGGCCATGGTATCCGGTTTGGCCGCATCGCACCCATAATTGGACTAGCACCCGTCTTGGCGTTAATCAGTTGTTACAGTTCATTATCGCTTATCCGATGATCTCATGATGTTCATTCAATGCTTCGTTGACAAAGCCAAGCAGACTGCTGTTGCCTGTAACATACAGAGGCCATGTTTCGCAACCATAAAATAGTACCGGACAGTTCAGCATCATTGACAGTATGCCCTGAAAACAAACTATTGGGTGGAATCGGAGTAGGTTTTGGGGGTCCTTGTACTCATAGTGTTCGTAACACTGCCCCCCAGGAGGAAACAACTGCTTAAGTACGCAACTGTATCAACTGATTTTAGTTTAATACCCAGATTGGGTATCCTTTCATTCTTTCACCGATACGATGCACTATGGAGGTTTAAAAACGCATTCTGAAAACAGTAGTTAAATTAGGATCATCAAGGTCTTCCCCCGAAGGAATATATACGATACAGAGGTTCGAACAGAAAGAGGTAGCGGTCAACTTTGACAAACACTACTTTCATGAGACTCCGTAGACTACTCCGTATTGACCACTTCGCAGTATGAGGGTTGAAAAAGCGCTGAGTTCAACTCTCAGCTTTAAAAAGGCGGAGACTGCCACAAAACAGCGTTAGCTGAATGCCGTTTTTCGGATCCAAAAAGAAGATGGTTGGTGACTTTCTGTATGTTTAGCAAAGTGTTCTGAGTTTTCTAGGGGACTGTGGTTGTTTTCTTCCGCGATTCGGACCGAACCCAACTCACGAGTACCGGTGAGCCTGCATAATATGATACCTACAAGCGGTGATCGATCAGCTGATTCCTTGATGGCTCACATGGAATGTGATGTCAGTTAATAAAGTTTGAATAATAATCCTGGTCAATACTCTTCATTCACGTCTGCTGATTTCAAAATACTCTTCATGAGTCGTCTCCGGCAGCAAGATGGCTTACTGGTCAGAGCGCGAATTTAGCGACCGCAAGGTCCGTGGGTCGAACTCGACCTCTGCCTCTCGACTTCCCTGTCTAGGCTTGGGCCATCTGGCAGTATCCCAGCCCTCGTGCTTCCTTCTGGTGGCATGGCAGTTAGGCATCGAAAGGGTGCAACAGCTGAACGATTTCTTCCCGACAGCAAGCACCAGCCGCGCCAGCCAAATCTTTGCAAGCGAACCGTCAAGCCCTGCGATCAGATCGCCTGCCAGCTGACCGAAAACTAACACATTCAAGCTACTTGTATTTCGACACATTACCAACAACTTCGGGTGTTGGACGCTCGAAATAGTTGATGCCTGGGACAAGCTTCGCTTGTAGACAAGACTCCACAAGACGGCAGCTTTGTTTCCTCCATGAATGTCTACGAAAACGCATTCTTGCACGCAAAGTTATCTGTTGATTGCGCACAGCCGATGATGTCTTCTCCTATGGTTACGAAACATTTACGGGCCAAAAGCCAAGCTCCGCAAATACACCAACTGCCACCTGGTCAACAGCCAAGGCAAAAAAACTTTCTTCGTAATCCCTAAGTAAATCGGTATCGGTGTGATTTTGTTGCATACTTGATCGGAGTGGGAGCCGCGTGATTTGCAGCTCATTGCCAAGTATTTTCAGTGTTTGTCGTCCGTTCGACTGCGGGAGGTCGGGTCACTTGTTCAACATCTGTTGTATCCATTGCAGCGAAAAAAAACAGCCTCTGTGTCCATTTTAGATACATCTTACTTCCTGACAATCTCTTCAGTGCAGTATTTCGGCTAGGTTCGGATACTCATAAGATACACGCACTGTATGCTTCAGTCAGTTGGGCTTATTATCCACGGCCTCTGTTGGAAATTTATGAAGCTGTGGGATAATCGCAGTTTCACGAATTCGCGCTCCACTCAGGGCCAGATAATGCTTAAAGATCCAACGTAGGCTGGGCCTCGGTATTCCTCTCGAATGAGCCGGTTCGAAGACTGGGTTTGTATTTCTTGCCATTCTTAGCCGACCTTGTGGTTCACTTCTAAGATTCACGAAATCGGCAGTTTCAAATTTCAGCACTGAAACTATGGGTGGTACTCGACAAATACACTCACTGAATCTTTCGTTACTGATGTTCATAAATAGACTAATAAGTAGAACGCAAGTATAAAATAAGGTTGGCGGAAGCTTGGGGACTGTGCCTACCTGATGAGCCCCAAGAAGAGCTGTCGAAGAATTTCCAGCAAACGCATGAGTAGTGTATACGTCTATACATGTATCGTGATATCTCGAATAGCGTGCCAACTAAAACATGAGACGGCCTGATGCTGCACTTTCAGTTGCTTAAAACTATCGTGAACAAGAGATTAGGCTGCGTCCCAGGTGAATCTACCGTCAAAACCAAACTGATTTGTCGAAATCAGTCCAATTTGGGTTCAAGTAGAAGATAAAGTTGACGGAAGCTCGGGGACTGCATCTGCCTGATGAGCCCCAGGAAGGGCGAAATAGGTCGTGGGCTGTCGAACACTCTACAGCAACCTTATGAGTAGTGTTTTACGCCTATGGATAGTGTTCTCCATATGTAGGTAAGCTATCCGCGAGGACTGTCAGTTCGTACAAGTGAGCGGAAAGAACCGACAATCTTCGGCACAGGATAACTGAAAGTAGCCGACTACAGGATCCGGCTCACTTGTTCAACATCTGTTGTATCCATTGCAGCGAAAAAAAAACAGCCTCTGTGTCCATTTTAGATACATCTTACTTCCTGACAATCTCTTCAGTGCAGTATTTCGGCTAGGTTCGGATACTCATAAGATACACGCACTGTATGCTTCAGTCAGTTGGGCTTATTATCCACGGCCTCTGTTGGAAATTTATGAAGCTGTGGGATAATCGCAGTTTCACGAATTCGCGCTCCACTCAGGGCCAGATAATGCTTAAAGATCCAACGTAGGCTGGGCCTCGGTATTCCTCTCGAATGAGCCGGTTCGAAGACTGGGTTTGTATTTCTTGCCATTCTTAGCCGACCTTGTGGTTCACTTCTAAGATTCACGAAATCGGCAGTTTCAAATTTCAGCACTGAAACTATGGGTGGTACTCGACAAATACACTCACTGAATCTTTCGTTACTGATGTTCATAAATAGACTAATAAGTAGAACGCAAGTATAAAATAAGGTTGGCGGAAGCTTGGGGACTGTGCCTACCTGATGAGCCCCAAGAAGAGCTGTCGAAGAATTTCCAGCAAACGCATGAGTAGTGTATACGTCTATACATGTATCGTGATATCTCGAATAGCGTGCCAACTAAAACATGAGACGGCCTGATGCTGCACTTTCAGTTGCTTAAAACTATCGTGAACAAGAGATTAGGCTGCGTCCCAGGTGAATCTACCGTCAAAACCAAACTGATTTGTCGAAATCAGTCCAATTTGGGTTCAAGTAGAAGATAAAGTTGACGGAAGCTCGGGGACTGCATCTGCCTGATGAGCCCCAGGAAGGGCGAAATAGGTCGTGGGCTGTCGAACACTCTACAGCAACCTTATGAGTAGTGTTTTACGCCTATGGATAGTGTTCTCCATATGTAGGTAAGCTATCCGCGAGGACTGTCAGTTCGTACAAGTGAGCGGAAAGAACCGACAATCTTCGGCACAGGATAACTGAAAGTAGCCGACTACAGGATCCGGCTGATTATCCACTTATTTGCGGTTTGAAAGACGCCATGTGCTGGGGATCTGTAGGTGATTTAAACGTATGATCAGCACGAAGTCATCATCAGTGTCACACCAAACCAGTTCTTCCATTTTTGATCTTCAAACCGCTAGCCCGGGTCATGATACCGTGTAATTCGGATAAACTTGGGAAGGTTCTGGTAAAAGTCAGTCTGACTGCCTTACTGTTGATGTGAACTGAGTCGTGCGCAAATATGACGAATAATTTACGCGTTTTCCATTGCGGGTATTCGGTCATGATAAACTGAGCCAACCTAACAATCCCTTGACAAAAATCCACTCAAGTGGTGTCTTCGGCTCTCATATTCAATTCCTACTTGATGGGGTGCCGTACTCAACAGGCAGAAACGTGGAGAGTAAAACCACCCAAAAAAGGCTGCAAGACTTCTTTTCCGCGTGGTGGGCTATCGCGGGATATTATTTTCATATTCCCCTATTGCCGCGTGTTTTAGTATGAGCAACTCACCGTTTTCGAACTACAGCATCGAAATTTTATAGACCAGAAAGAGAGAAGACTTAGTACCGTAAAACTTTTGTGGTATCTCCTGGAGCCCAGGTTATCTACCCTTCGGAAATAGGTAGACTGCGTAGTACCTGAAGTTACAACCTTTCCCCATAAAGGAGCTACCATCATTAATAGCCTGACTGACTAACAGTCATCTGCCATCTGCAGACAAAATCGTGTGTGTATACTACGGACGAACAATGAACGTCGCGAACAAATTTTCTCCGGTATATTTTGGCTTTCAGTAACCTACCTATCGTCTGAACCCGAGCGCTCTCCTACATTTTAGGACTCATCTTGACGATTATCTTGGCTTGGAAATTCGCACAGCCCGGCCGACAGAATTCCCAACACCGCAACACAAGTAATGGGAAGAAAATATAATTCAAAATACGAGGGAATATATCTACACAAAAACAAACAGGAAAGCTAGTCCCAAAGGCAAAATAGTTCATAGTAATTCAGTTAGATCACAATATGTGGAGATGAGTTGGATGGTTTGGTAACAGATCTGATTACGTCTGACCAGCCAGTCGCTGGATGACCTGGAGAAGACTTTCCGGTCGAGGTGAAGCAGCCACGCCCGCCACACTCATGTCATACTCTTGTAGCTTAGAGGCCGTAGCTCGTCCCATAGCGACCAACTGGTTGTGGAAGCGGAGAGGGAGGGTGTAAACAGAGCATCAAACACCATTGATACACTAGCAATAAAAAATAAGTTGAAAAAGTGCATGGGAAAAGTGAGAAGTGAAATAGTCAATTCATGTAAACGATAGCGGAATGAGCACAGCTCATCCACATGTCGTTGAAACCCATAATCAGCTGGAAATAAGTCCCCGGGGCACTTCTGTAGTAAATACGTTACGCTAAAGATTCCAGTAGAAAAGTTAAGTCACTGAAGGTCCATAACAAAACACCTACCTCATCTCTATCTTAGGTACAAAAAATGTACCATCTCAATTTCAGAGTATATACTGAAGTAAAAACAGAGGATATGAAACGACAAAAAAATTGAACTTTGCGGATGTCCCGGACGAGACCACTTCCAAGGAGAGTGTAACGGTTCTGTCCCAAATTTATTTATACAACAAAATGTAGGTTGCAATCGACTGAGGGAATGAAAAGTCGTACTTATGCCTCTGAAAACCTGCAATTCAGATGTCTACGACTGCCACCGAACCAAAAGAAGAAAAGCGTTCAGCTGTAGCGCCTTTCCGGTGCCTAGCTGCCATGCCACCCGAAGGAAGCATGAGGGCTGGGATACTGCCAGGTTGCCCAAGTCTAGATAGGGGAAGTTGAGTGGCGGAGGTCGGATTCGAACCACGGACCTTCCGGTCGGTAAATTCGCGCTCTGACCACTTGGGCCACCTCGCCCCAACCAAAGGAAAGAGGCGCTTTAGGACACGACCTCCACACTGCCACTGTCGAAAACAGTTACCACCTCTCCAGGAAAATTAAACTATCAAAATAACTATATGTTAGACGCTTTTATGTCCAAAGGGACACAAAAGAATATGACTGCTTTATTTGATTATGAACAAAAAAACTGGAAAAAACGACCCACACAACAACGGTTTAGCTGGGAAACATAATCACCAAAGAAGTAGGAAACGATCCACATTTCCCTTTTATCTTTTCCAGAGTATTTTGTTGTTTACTAAGAGTCAAATGCACTCCCAAAAAGATGATTAATGCTATGCTGTTTTCTGTTACACTACTCTCTTGAAACTGACAAGGGAGAAGCTCCACCTGTTCTCATTCCAAAGAGGTATTATTCGGTTTTATTCCCAGTAAAACTACTGCATGATTAATCGTAAAGGCCAGGAACACTGCTATAAAAGAATGGCCTAAAGACAAAACAATTTCGAAGAGTATGAATTTCCTGGTTTTCGGAGCGCACATCTTCAGAAGGGAAACATTGTACTTAGGTCGGATGGCGCACTTATCAGATGTGCCATCGTAAATAACTAACCGCACTAGACTGAAGTAAGGATGGATGGCAACGATACAACCCCAGAAATATCACAACAAAGGCAGTCAAACCGAATTACTCAATTCAGTGTCCGCACGGATGGAAGGCACCTATCATCTACCACGATGTGTTCCGATATACGCCATATATCTATAGCGATAAACTGCGTGATGGTAACATACTGTTTCCATTTTCTATTAACAAAATTCATAGACTCTGTTCAACCTCTTGTTGTCCATTTCACCTCCAAAGGTAGGTATGAGAAGACAAAAAGCACCATAGAGCAGTTTTGTTCTTCTTACAAATTTTCTTTATTCCTTACTAATAGTCAGTACCATGCATCTCACGAGTTTCCCCGACGTTGAACACTCCACAACGGGCTGATTCGCGTTGATTTAATAAATTGAGTCTAACTACCGTCCTGATTGTATTTTTCAAGCTATATGACGTAGATACCTCGATTCCCAACTGCGGGGCATACGCGCTTCTTTCCTCCACCTCATCTGCCTTCATTAGGCTGAAATGCTCTCTGTCCGCCGCTATCACTCCGCATAACACCTCCCTGGGTCAAGCCTGGTAGCCCAGCTGACCGCAGAGAGGAATAAGGATAACCAAACACCCACTCGAAGTTCACGATTCCAACGTTATCATCAACAGCAGCAGAACCTCCTGCTGCTGTATGCTACTGTATGCTGCCCCAGTATGCAAGCCGCCCATGACTGCGATCAAATTAGACCGCCGGTTTTAACGGCTGACAATTACAAAAGAATGTAGCTAGTAGTGGGGCTTTCTTGAAGTTCACACGGTGCCAATAATGTCCTTAAGTTGCCTCCACAATACAGTACTAGCCGGGCCTCAGTCGTCGCATCACATCGTTGCATCCTTGATAAGTTGTATTCATGAACCATTCGGATCCAGACAGCTAGGAGGAGCCATAGATCTACACTCGACATAGTTGCAGGCGTTGGTCGTGCTATCCTGATACCGGTGGTCGGTAGAGTAGTCTATGGTAGCATCTGCCTCCCGTGATATAGGTTTCAGGTGCACGATGGGAGGTTCCACTGAAGTGTTCATACGTAACCAAGCAAATAAAGTAACGAAGATCGTTTACTTTCCACAGCACATGATATCTGTCCCCTCTTATGCCTCCAGGCAAGTCACAGCCGGTTGCTGATCATTTTTGCACAAAAACACAACAACCGACGATAATGGCTACACGCATGCTAGGAATTCAGCAACTGTTTGGCCATACGTTCTGGGATGTAGCATGCTGTGACGGCTCAAATGCGACTCCAAAGGTTATCAATATAAATTTGCTACTTGTTGCAGACACTGCTAGCACGCATGCTGCTGCCCATATCTGACTTAGTTCACATCCAATCTACGGTAACAGATTCAATGAGGTCACAACGTTTTCTTTACAGTAAGTATATTCAGTACCTCAGCACAGATTGTTCTAAACGTACACGATGTCTGTTTGCGATCCACTAACGTAAACAAGTTGTAGAAATCAACCTAATCAAGTAATGTCACTATGGGGGACTACCCCCGGTATGTTCTACTTTTCTCTGCCTTATCTGTGGTTTTCTCGGTAAAAATTGGGCGAAATTCTCTCCGATGATCATTAAAAATGTGGAAGAATGTGTATACTGTTAAATTTAGGGTTCAATTATGTCGATGTGGTGCCAGCTGGCTTCATCACTCTTGTTTCATTGAGGAGAGCTCGGTTGTTGAGTCAAACGTTACAAAACATTGGATATTTTCACCACGAAGAGCTTTTGCTCAGACAGGCCGTCAGATTTGACCGCGATGGTCGTAACGAAGTGGGTACTTAACTAGGGTTGGTACTGCAATTGGTAAGACCAAGATGATGCAAATATTACCAAATAGTTAGGCGAACAGAACGAGACGGCAGAGTTGAACGTAGCAAACGGACCTTTCTGTCAAGAACTAGTGACATTACCTGTTCATCAGCGAGCTGATGTCAAACAACACGGACCACGACAAACATCAAAGATGATCAAATTGAACAGAAAGTGCACATAGTGGAAAACATGTTTTAGAGGAACACTGAACAGGACATGAAAAAGCGACGTTGAGAGTACCATACACGTACACTCTTGAAAAAAAACCCCGGTCATTCACCTTTACTTTGGGACGATGAGGCTTAAGTTCAGTTTTCAGAATGCCCTCGGTGAGCGTAACCCCCGAAGGACTGAAAAACACGATACAGTCTGGGATAGGGTTTCCTTCCTGAAAGGGAATCAGGGGACAGTACTCAATCACGAGACAAGCACATTAATAGCGATGATAATAGTAGTAATAACGGTATTATCAATAAAGCGGAGTATGCGAGCCATGTGAAAATGGAGGTGATATTAGTCCACAGTGCATGACATATGTCAGAACCACCTGGTTTCTCTGGCACCAGTGTGGAATTAAACAGTCCGGCAATCGAACACAAGTTCAAGGGAAATATACTATTCTGAGTTCGAATCAATCTACCACAGGCAATATGCCCATAAAGTGCGAGCTAACTGGGGACGAATGCTCAGGAGAGCTAACCAGTGGACAAGTGCAGTGACCCGTATTATTCACAGGTGAAACACATCTCTTGGGTATACGATCCATGATTTGAGTGATGTTCTGCTGTACCATATCGAGCAGTTTCGAAATGAAATGTGACTTGCGGGCCAAGCCTACTTGGTCCGCCTGGTGAAGACAGCGTCATCAATCTGTATTGGTCAGCCCATATCCAACGGCAACCACACTCTGATGAGGCAGAGTTCACGTATGAGCGCATTCCCACATTGAAACACCATGCATCTCACTGAGCTTCTTTAGAGCAAAAGCTAAAGAGGTCGATTAATATCTTGTTGTATGAGTCGGTTGACTGTTTTCGTCGCAGAATTACCGAATCATAAGCAGAAAGACGAACTAATCGGTTAGGTCTGACAAATCGGTTGAGTGGTTATAATGAACCAGATAGGCATGACTAAGGCGATCGTCACGCTATGCGTGTAAGCTCGTAGTGTGGGTGGGTCTCGACCACAGAGCAGACAGGTGTTGACCATCGCTCCAGTTGAAGTAGATGCTAACCGTACATGCTGCCATCACAGCATCTTCATTCCTGCAGACTTCGTTCCTAGCTGGAGTGCGCATCTCATTGGCACATCGTTAGTGACTAATCGACTTGAATGAGCGCGAATTCAGAACTGGATAAGTCTACCGTGAGATGTGTTCAGCCATCAGGATACTAAATTTCATCACCCGTAGAGTTAAAAGCTTTCAAGGAGAAGCACCAGGACAACAGAATGCCGGAGCACTCAGCTTGATCAAAGCACCATTTATTTCGCTTTATCTTACTTGTTCCCCACAAACCTCAAGGGAGGAAAACAGTGCTTTCGTTGGTAAACGGTGACTGGGAATACGTAGTACACGCTCCAACTGCCTTTACCCGATCCATCTTATTTCATACGTTGGCAATGCTGATTCAATTCCGAGTGCCCAATTACACACCAATTCGTCCCAAACATGCTGGATCGGATATTGCCTGCTAAACTACAAAGATGTCAAAGATCCAGGAATTGATCCAGCTTCCTCTGATCGGAGAAGCCCTGTTTCACAAACATGGATTTAGAGTGCCCTTATAATCCAGCTGAATCAAGACTTCGCAGTTTGGATATGCCAAGTACATGTCCAAGCATAGGAACACTTCCTACAATCCATTCAGAGTAGGCTGCGCGGACGAACATCGACACCACGTGTCAAAATAAAGAAAAGCCCGTAAAACGATCCCCGTATAGGTAACTGTAGGTCAAGTTCAACCGATGTTTCGCTCCACATCATCTCCGGTGGTCGCCTTCCACACCAAATCATCCAAAAATGAAACCAGTCGGACGTGATCTCCACGAGCAATAAAATTCACATAGAACTATACGACGAGTACCTGAATGGTGACTTATTCGTGCTGCAATGCTCACAGCGCACGTTTTGAGAGCAAGTCAACCCGTAAGTCGCACTCAAAAGACAGAAATGAAGAGTCAACGCATGGCGACCCTTTCCTCCCGATCAGGTGTTCTGGTCTACCTAAAAAACGAGACCCCGGAATCGGTGAATAAGCCAGACACTGTGGCATGGTCAGTATCACCGGATCTCAAGTTTATTTCGCGTTTCGACTGTACCAACCTTCAACTTTCGCCAGTTTGATTACGTCCAACTAGATCAATCTTTTACTGTGAATAACACCTGTACAGAATACGAAGACTGGGCATCAAACTTAAAACGATCAAATGTCTTTTCTCGCAAGATGCGAAACGGCCACATGGTAAATGAATTACATGAGCAATCCAACAAAAGGGAAAATGGAAACCGATCTGCTCGTCGGCATGAAACAAACAGAAGGTACTTACACAAAGATTAAGCCGCACCTTATCCTTCAATGCGACATTTTCGTGGGATGAATAAGCAATCAGAATGTCAACCTTGATGCCTGAAACAGAATAGTAGTGATGGACGACTGTCTACCATTTTTCTCCAAATACTGAGGGAGATCGGCGCGGTGTATTTGACTTGCCGGGAAGAAGACCGGCTTCGTGAGCTCTGAATAAGAACTGCTTAGGTTATTGTCGTTAAGACTTACGAGTTGCGTAGTTATCTACAATGACCTTTGACAAGGTCTCCGCATCTCCAGCTTGAGCACCTTTAGGTGAAAATCCAGCTTTCTTTGCTTGAGGACGAAGTCAGTTTATAAGCGAAACGGTACCTTGCAGGTCTGTCGAAGGACCAACTACAAAACATAAATCTGACTGTTGACCTGAAACAGGGAGAACAATGTAGTCACCAGAGGGAGTTCCGTACCTTTCAGTCCGGCCTTCGTATACGCGGTCACAGCTCTCGGACTAGTAAATACGATCGCACTATGATTGTCGCGCCAGGACTGGCAACGTGCAAGCTCCGCAGTGTGGTAGGTAAAATCCAGCGTCTCGGCGAGGTCTGCACTGAAGCCCGCCTTCACTAAAACCTGTATCACCGCAAAATCGGAAACAATTAGGACAGTGTTTACCTGAACGTAAGGATCATCGTGGGGTCCCGATGCTTGCTCATTAAGAGCCTTGAGAAGTAGTATGTGCATGACCAATCAGTTGGTAGGGGAGTGAGTCCAACCCTCCTGATGTTCAGGAACGGCTTCGAGAGATCTGAAGTAGAAATGTGATGATCCAGAAAGACATGTCGAGTGAAAATTATGGAGGTGAGTGGAAAGTTAATGCGGTGCACCTAACTAAAGGAACTCCACGGTACCCGTCCCCCACCCCCGCCTGAAAGGGGTCGTTTTTGAAAATTGGTGAAAACCGTTTATTATGGGAAGGTTGACCAAATCTCAGGTATTGTGTGAGAAGCGAATTACCTCTGAGCTGAGTGGATAATTTTTGAAGCAGTTTACCGGTTTGCGGTACAAAACATTATCTCTTCACTCGAGGCCGCTAGAAGCATAATCCTCACAATGAACAGTAAACATGAGATGCCACTTACCAACTGAAGCAGTTAGTATGCAAACTTCCTGCAGCCTTAGAACAAGTCCGCTGCCACACGTCACTCGCCACTCATCTTTCGAACTGCTTGAATGGCCGTCCTCTAATACCTCCGTCACGGAAAAAGTACCCATGTTATGACATTTAAGCGCTCCGGTATACTGAAGACGGCACGTTGAATCACTGTCACGCTTGTGAGTTCGAAAGCAATTCAACGGCGACAGGATTGGTTTTCATCTCGCAGTCGCTTATACTGATGGGCTGCACAGTCTGGACCTAAGGCCAGCTTAAGCTGTGGAGAATTTACTATATGCCCAGATCCGACCAAGAAGCACAATCAATTTGTATTCACCATAAATATGGACCTCTTAGATAAGTGATGAGAGGCTTATTCCACAATTCCGCGTGACCAAGTGAGATATGAGAGCAGTGAGCTGTGTCCCTGCACAGACGGGCACACAGACCGAATAGTCCGGCCTACATTCACTAGAACAATTCGACGATGCCTCCAGTGATTGATGAGACATGGCTTAATGGTTACGTAGTATAATACTCAAATTACTGCAATTGACGCTTTAGCGTATTCTCTGGCGAAGATTTAAAACTTGCAAAATTTACTGAACCAGTACACTTCATCGCTTCAAAGCGAACAGTATAGACAACCTTCATCAAACATAAAATCAAGGCCGTGACTCCTTTCGAATGTCTATCGAATTTGTATGTGCACTGTTTGAGAATATAATTTGAATCCACTTAGTTGATTATTTTGAAAATGCACTAGGGAACTACAGCAATGTGTTACATAACCACACAATATTACGTAGAGGAGCGTAAATAACACTTTCTCTGAATTTAAGCAAGCAACTGTTACTCGCGTCAAACTGTTCTTGCCCAAACCGTTGGGAACTGTAACGGAGATCTGCGACCTTAGACGCATGGGAATAATGGGGAGCAACTGCTCCCCTTGTGAACCGATCATCGTGTTTCTGGTCAGTACGAATTTGTAGAACATATCGAGTTACTTGGATATCTCCATCGCAAGACAGTCATGGACTCAACTGGATCATTACCTATGGGGGGGGGCTCCAGGAAAATATGTCGTTCTTTCTGGGGTATGCAATTTGACTCTGATCATGTGCGGGCCCGGATATCACTTCACTTTCCGACAACATTACGCGTGTCAAAGCAGAGAGTCTATTCATCAACTTCCACAGGCCTCAGTAGCTTAATAGTGCCGAGCTGATCTGCTAAAAAAGCTACCGGAAACGCAGACACAATCTCCAAGATTGCTTGCAGACTGAAGGAAAGCAAGTTTAAAAAGCTATGCTGTCAGCTTTCAGGACTGTTTGTCCAGACTACCCGACTCGAAATGGCTGTGGTTTACGTGCGAACTTACAGAAAGGCTCGCGTTTCGAACCTGGTTTGTGCACCCCGGCTGATACTGCCTAGGCTTGGGCAGACCAACAGTATCTTAACCTTTCCCACCTTAAGGCGGAAGCCAGATGCTGAGAGTGTGTTATAGCTGAACCATCATTATTATTTATTTTATTTGACACCAAATAAACACTGAATATTGTCTGATGGGAGTCTGACGAAGTCGGTGCAAGAACCTCAAAGGCTATCATCAGGTTTGCCAATCTGCGTCACTTGTGGCTTTAAAGGCATATCACTGGGTTCTAAAGGTCGCGTGTACAAGGCTATAGTAAAGGCTGTTCAGGGCATGGCCTCTGAGAACAGCTAATGTAAAGCGTCTTCAGGTTTTTGACCACAGACGCCCCAAAAGCGTTGATGGTTTTGTATGGCTTCAAAAGATTAGTAACCAGGTGACCATAAAACGGGCATTTGGTTGTGCGAAGGCAGTTGGAACGATGAAAGCATCCAGCAACAGAAAACACAGTGGCTTGGTCGTGTGCTAGGCATGCGGGAACACCGTCTACCGAGATGAGTGCTGTTTTACGTGCCACCTTCAGAATGGCGAAAGCCGCTAAGTAGACAAATTATGACCTGGCAGAAGGAAGTGGAAGTAATTACGAAAGGTTTCCGTGCTGTTGATACTCTACACCTTCCAGGATGGCATCCCCGTGACTCACCTGTGCTTGACTGGAGACATTGCAAGAAATGGCGAATAGTCGATATCAGTGGCGCTGGTGCTGTCAGTTTCTCTCCAGGTTGATTGAGAGCTTGTACGTTTAGGCACCTGATAATGCTTGACACAGGCCAGCACTAGCACCCCTTTATCACCCACTCGTTTTCTTTTTTCCTCTCTAAGGCTTTGAATATGGTTAGATGAACTTTATTTTCGTAGGGCAGTGGAGCATCAGTGTCAACACTGATGTTGCTGTCTCTGATGACGATCGTCGAGATCAGGCTTTATTGCTGACAGAAAAGCCATACCAGCAACTACCCACGGTGACGTCGCACGCAAATCCGCATAACACCGGATAATAAAGAGCTTGAAGAATGACAGGAAACGCTACTAGACTGCGAAGGCCATGGAGGTGGATGCTTTCGCTCGCGCAACAGTCGCAGCTGATTCGATCAACTGGCCAAAAGGAAACAAGTGTCGGCGAAAGAATCTGCGAAAAAGCCGGATTGGCAACTCATGTACACGGTCGTGGTCAACTACAAAAATCTAGATATCATTCCTCACACCCAGCTTTGATGTTTTGAATCCAAAACTTTTCAATAGTGGTTAGGCGCTGGTGAATACATCGGTGACACAACTGCAGATTTTGCATGAAAAAAGAATGCCAGTGAAATAGGGCACCTCAATCTCCAGAAAAGGGGGCAAGGTTGTCATGCAAAAACCTTTGTGGCATCAGCCTGGCAGCACCCAAGGTGCTCTCTGGCATCATTTTGTGTAAGCTCATCGATTATTGGGAGAGACAAACGATTGAGTCTCAAGCTGTATTTCGCAGCGGCATCCACCGTATATTTACATTCAGGCAACTTCTGGAACATCGTAACAAATTCAAACGTTTCACTTTGGTCGTGTTTCTGTATTATCACTATTACCACAACCTTCCGACATCTGTTCCAGTTACACTCCATACTTTCTTAAGGTATAACATTTTTTTATTAGTATTTAATCACCGGTGACTTACCGGGCTTCTACATGCACGACATCCGAGTGTAGTCGACACAAATCAGTGATATCTAAAGCGCCATTTAGCGACTATGTATAACTATTTATGGCTGACGCAAAATGTACAATAAGTATACGTATTATGCATCAGTCATGTTCACTGATCTCAGAGGCGCTTTAGACTGTCGATCGTCAGAAACGTTGGCGCTATCTGGCGATCAAGAATATGCTTGGAAGAATTTATATCAACTATAAAGCCATTGTACTAATGGATTAACGGACTGAAACACAGGGCCAATGCTTTTGCCCAAGCTTGCCGGAGAGGTAGGGAGGATAACGTTCCTCGGCTTGAGATGGAACGTTTTCAGGCGAATTGCCATCCTCGACAAACAAATCAACGGTGCCGTTACGAAGAGAATGGAATTCCAATATCGTTACAGCTTTACCCGTCGCGGCTCAGTGTTGTTGTCGCTAGGGCGCCTATCCACAGGCGACTGACCAGTCCGCCCTCTTGCGGACCAGCATTCGGGCGAGTTCCGATTGGCCGAAAGTCTGCACCTAACAGCCAATCATGATCCGGTATCCGCCGAGCGCAGAATGCCGATGGCGCAAACAGAAGGCATCGTGATTTCCATATTTTCGCTGCAGCTTTCTCCTTTTATACGACGTGATTTAATTGTATTTTTCACCTCCGATGGTCGTTTTGGCGGAAACGCTCACTTAAATGATTGTGGCCGAGAACGAAGGTTAGGCATTACCGTTAACAAACTTAGCTAGGTTTGACGGTTCGCGTCTCCGCGACTCATTGAGCAGCACTGAGAGCTTCACGAGATACTTGTAAAGTCTTTCGTACCAGGTTGTTGAACGCTTAGATGTTTGACTAACAGTCGTTTAGCCTTCCAGGTTGGTGTTTGAACGTACGGCTAATGGCCTCATAAAAGTGGTAACGCACTCGCAATTTACGCCAAACGGCACGCTTTTCGTCAGGCTTTTAAACAGCGGCTTCATTTGAGAACGGTATAAGTCCCCTTGTGTAGGCATGGGGGCACCGGCACAGTTCCAACCCACGTACAACCATGAAACCCACCATTGCAAAGTGTCTCACGCCACATCGGCTGATGTGGAGTGCCATAAGCAGAGTCCTTTATTAATCGCTGCATACATCACGGCTGTTGAACACGAGACGGCCCTTGCTGACGCATCCTTTTTTCCCTTTTCACACAATTCCCCTCTCTCCTTTCCTCACTGATAACTTTCTCCTTTTAGGACTGATAATTCTGTTTGCCCTGCATCGGTGTTGCAAGCAACATATGCGTGTTATTCGGCACCGACACCTTCATGCATCTCGAAGTCATTCCTAAAGCCTGGATACCAATCTGGCGCGCAGGTGGGCCAGCAAGCTACTCTTGCTCTTACACTGTACTCGCCTGGCATTGATGTTTTCTGTGCTCTAGAAACAAGAATTAAATATGCAAGCACAGTATTTGAACCAACCGCTCTATTGCTTTCCACTTGCTTTCGGTT